AGGATGTGTAATTGAAAGTACAAAATCAGCAAAAATATAAATCGTGATTATTACGAGTTGTTGTCATAGAACCATGCAAGTAATTGTTATCAACACTGAATTTCTCAGCAATATTTCAGTCTACTGTTCGAGCACACGCAGACTGATGACATTTAGCGTACATATCGCCATATCAGTTAGTGATATTTCATACTAAACGTCAGTACCATGAATAATATGAATCGTAGTCATGTGATAATGCATTTATCCATATATTATTAGTGACATGTCACTATATATGTGTTATTTTATATTGCACAGACACTTAGTGGAAAAATTTATATATTTTAAAAGCCATTCTGTATACCTTTGTACATATATCTTGATCTTTATCATCGTATACTATGTATAGAAGGCAAATTATCGCAAGTCGTGACTGGGATGAATGGATTTCTCAATTAGCAGTGAATACCACATGAATGCAAGGTCAATAGACACATTTTGCTTTTCATTTTTTTTATTGAAAAGGTCAACACTGGATGCCAATTAATGCATTCTTTGTTTGACTTCTAGGAATCAATGAATTTACATTTATGCTCTTAATTGTATTAGTACTGTATTTTCTCTGCTAGGAGCATGTTCGCTTATATAAATGGCAGAGATGAATCTATGGTCAAAATAATTCATATTTTCAATAATTTTTAATTTAATAAATACAAATTTTGGTTTACAAATTGTGCACTTGCGACTAGTAAGCAAATAAAGTACTACATGTATTTTGATTACTGGAAAAATTTAGGTTCAGAGTTGAGTAAAAGTTGCACATTTATATGCATAACCTTGAATCTATGAAGTATCGCACTCACTCTATAGGCCTAGGTCTCTGTACTATCTCATTACCATTCAGATTTATGCGGATATTACACACACTCAATTCTCTGTGTTCATTGACCTTTTTAAATGCTGCACTCAGGGAATTCCCTATAATTGCACGATTTCCAGTGTTTATGTTGATGCAATTTTCATTAAACCAACTAAATCTTGTCAGTACCCGACTATGATGGGATATTAATACGGTTGTATCCTGGCATTAGTGCAGTGGTGTATAGATTGGAGTGCAGTGGAATGTACCATGGATTCTAGGCATGAGTGGAGTGGAATGTACCATAGATTCTAGGCATGAGTGGAGTGGAATGTACCATGGATTCTAGGCATGAGTGGAGTGGAATGTACCATAGATTCTAGGCATGAATGGAGTGGAATGTACCATGGGTTCTAGGCATGAGTGCAGTGGAATGTACCATAGATTCTAGGCATGAGTGCAGTGGATTGTACCATGGATTCTAGGCATGAGTGCAGTGGAATGTACCATAGATTCTAGGTATTAGTAGAGTGGAATGTACCATAGATTCTAGGTATTAGTAAAGTGAAATGTACTATACACATGTAGATTCTAGGTATTAGTAGAGTGGAATGTACTATAGATTCTAGGCATGAGTGGAGTGGAATGTACCATAGATTATAGGTGTTAGTAGAGTGGAATGTACCATGGATTCTAGGTGTTAGTAAAGTGAAATGTACTATACACATGTAGATTCTAGGTGTTAGAGTGGAATGTACTATAGATTCTAGGCATGAGTGCAGTGGAATGTACAATAGATTCTAGGTATTGGTAGAGTGTAATGTACCATGGATTCTAGATGTTAGTAGAGTGGAATGTACCATGGGTTCTAGGTGTTAGTAAAGTGAAATGTACTATACACATGTAGATTCTAGGTATTAGTAGAGTGGTATGTACCATAGATTCTAGGCATGAGTGCAGTGGAATGTACCATAGATTATAGGTGTTAGTAGAGTGGAATGTACCATGGATTCTAGGTGTTAGTAGAGTGGAATGTACCATGGATTCTAGGTGTTAGTAAAGTGAAATGTACTATACACATGTAGATTCTAGGTATTAGTAGAGTGGAATGTACCATAGATTCTAGGTGTTAGTAAAGTGAAATGTACTATACACATGTAGATTCTAGGTATTAGTAGAGTGGAATGTACTATAGATTCTAGGTGTTAGTGGAGTGGAATGTACCTTAGATTCTAGGTGTTAGTAGAGTGGAATAACCCATGGATTCTAGGTGTTAGTAGAGTGGAATGTACCTTAGATTCTAGGTGTTAGTAGAGTGGAATAAACCATGGATTCTAGGTGTTAGTAGAGTGGAATGTACCATGGATTCTAGGTGTTAGTAAAGTGAAATGTACTATACACATGTAGATTCTAGGTATTAGTAGAGTGGTATGTACCATAGATTCTAGGCATGAGTGCAGTGGAATGTACCATAGATTATAGGTGTTAGTAGAGTGGAATGTACCATGGATTCTAGGTGTTAGTAGAGTGGAATGTACCATGGATTCTAGGTGTTAGTAAAGTGAAATGTACTATACACATGTAGATTCTAGGTATTAGTAGAGTGGAATGTACCATAGATTCTAGGTGTTAGTAAAGTGAAATGTACTATACACATGTAGATTCTAGGTATTAGTAGAGTGGAATGTACTATAGATTCTAGGCATGAGTGGAGTGGAATGTACCATAGATTCTAGGTGTTAGTAGAGTGGAATGTACCATGGATTCTAGATGTTAGTAAAGTGAAATGTACTATACACATGTAGATTCTAGGTATTAGTAGAGTGGAATGTACCATAGATTCTAGGCATGAGTGGAGTGG